GTGTAAACCGTGTGCGAAAAGAACCCTATTATTTTTATTTAACAGAGTTAACTACTTTATCATATTCGGGCGAAAAGAGGGCGTGGATGAAAAGAAGAGGCAAGTTATATTTTTGAGCGAATATAATATTATGGAGTACCAGCCAGATTTCGTGTAGGTACCTGCTGCCTGTAGCCGCCAACTCTGCATCTGCGCAGGAACCGTAGTCCAATAGTGATGTTTCCTGCATCTCGAAATCCGATACTCGCCCCCCCCCCCAACATTTCTAAACCAAATGTAGGAGATTGTGGGAGGATGAAAATTTGTTCTCTGTTTTAAAAATGCATGACGGGAAATTTTTTTTACACAAAACATTTACAGGTATTGTTGTATACATCAACCCACAGGATTCGTTAAATCTGTTGTGCCTATATATGCTCGCCAGACGACGGTCAACCGTCAGCGTATAGGTTTCGGTTACACACTTACACGACGTGTGATACGATCTGCAGGTCACCTGTAACTGTACATATATCGGATTTCTATTTAGTCTAGTGCGTCGCGTGGGAGAGGGCCTTTAACATTCGATACATATTATTGTCGTGTATAGGCGGGCAATATGTTATTGTGCGCGGTGATCGACTTGACGAAAATCTATTGTTTTCGGCACAACTCTCCAACGATCTGTATAATGTATTAAAGTTGAACGGTATCGTGTCCAGTTGCAATGCGATTCTGTGTACGAGGAACCGGAGGAACAAAACACCGATTACAATAAAGTCGTGTCATTGTAGGTTACGACCGACTCGCGTGTGAAATGACGCTCGTCTGTAAACCGAACTCGTGTAATAATATGTATAATATATATGTATACCTACAATATGAACTAAAGTGTTTAATAAAAATAGACGGGCGTGTTGTCAACACAACCCTAAACAACGATTAACAATTCATGGCATGTCGGCGGGTGGGAATGTTTATATATAACAAAAAAAAAAAAAATGAGAATTTATTATATTTAAAGTTCAATATTAATTCAGTAGGTACTGTTCGCGCGATAAATTTCTGTATATTATACGACCGCGACAAGATTAATTGTTCAAAGTGTTCGCACGTAAATAATTATTATACTATTATATTGTTCAAAAACTCGAACGAGGTCTTCTTGGATAATAAACACAGCATAATCATTTTTTTTTTTTAAATTTTATGATCATTCGTTTTGTCATCGTAATATAGCGTAATCGAGTTTGAAAGCCTCATCGTCGCCTTGACAACACATAACTGTACCATATTATAGGCCTTAATCATGGTGTGAATAAAATACTTAAAATAATATGCATTACGTGCTATACTGTTCTATATATATAAAATGTTTATAAATATATTATACGTAACTGTGCTGCCTGTAGGTATACATAAAATATAATATAATATTATGTGTTTGTCGATTATTATACTGTCGTTGACTAATTCGACTATTCGCGTGACGTTCATATTTTGTAGATTTTTCGTCCGAAGTATTTAATATTTCAGATTTATATTTTAAACTTCAAAGGTGTACAAACTGTGTATATTATTGGTGTGCCGGGAAATAGGTGAGATTTTTGACATTTTAATCATAAACTAATTTGATAATATTATCTACCGGCTTAATTTATGCTGTTGTAAATATTGATTTTTTTAAAACCATCCACCCCGAGTATTTATCGTTGGAAAAAATCGTTGCGTATTCGCTGAAATTAAAAGTGAATCCATGGACCATACACATACATTATTAAATTATTGGAGGTACTGTATTTTATTTGAGATCAATAATGTAATTAATTCATGGAACACAAATAAAACAATAATTTAAAATAAATACTGAAATTATAATACGTTTTAGTAACATAAAAACATTCGTTAATTAATTCGTTTAGTCAGAGTCAACGACCCGTGATCCCGAAAAGTTATCTCGCGTTAATTTTGGCCCAAACAATTATTTTTATTTTTAGAAGTAATGAATTACTCCATAAATATATTAGGTAGCGTGGTGACAATTGAAATCATTTATTGGTTCTGCATGTTTAAGCCCAAAGACCAAGAATTTTAAAGTGCTCTCAACAATACATTTTTCTGAAATATAATTTATCGTAAGCACTCAAATTGTGATTTTTCAAACAATATCCGAATTAATAAATACAATACGAAAATGCTAAAGGTGTACAAAAATATTCAAACTACTGGTATACCGTAACGCCTTATGATATTTTCATAATTTATACATTGCACAGTGAAATATACACGGCCATCTGCACAATTAAAATAGATTTAAATTAATGTGTTTAAATAATTATTGTAGTTTCTTATATTACGTATATATTCTTATATATATTATGTTTATTTTACGAATTTGTTGAAAAACACGTACCTGTCATTTATTCTACTTTAAACTTTAAACCGTATTAAATAATTACTCTATTGGTGTCGGGTATTTCAGACTCGATTATTATTCACCAACTGACAACCAAGTTTACGAGTTTGTACATTTGATTTACGTCGTATTCATTTTTCTTATTAGATTATATGTGTTTTGGCTTTTGGGGTTGTAACTTGTATTGATACATATGTAGGTAAACATACATGCACCATGTATATTATGCGTTACGCAGCCGTCGGGGAAGAAAAAAAACATACGATTGCTATTTAGTATTAACACTATTAACCATACGGTACTCGACCGAAGTATATATTATATTTTACCCAATACAATAATTACGGCCAACTCTTGGCCGCCGCGTGGCATTGAATTAATCACGCTAATGATGACACATTTAGCGATTGCACCGCAACCGTCAGTCGACAGTTGTTGACAGGAAAACATTTTTTAATATCGCCGCGTCTTACAGTTTTTTTTTCGCTCTCGTCCAGATGATTTTAACATCGAATCCATAATTTTTGTTGAAAAAAAAAATTAATAAATAAACACTCGCACGTCACTCATTATACGGATAATAATATTCAATATAATGATCGTTGCGATTGTGTGGCGGTCATTTCGTGTATATAACCTACCTATGGAGAGTATAAAAAAAAACACTGATCGACAACCTCCCATTTATAGCTCTGTCGGTTTCGCAAGACCGCGTCGCCAAGATATTCATCTCGTATATAATAATATATAATCGGAAACTTTTGCAGCGATCGCGACTGTGCACACACTAACAAACACAAATATATGTATATGTAAAATACTGTAATTATATTATCGTTGTTCTGTGCCCTATAATATATACCTAATTACGCAAGGTAGATGGTATGTGTGTGTGTTTGTGTGGTGTCCCTTTTCGTCGTCGTCGGCCCTTTCTAATCGTGCGGTCCACGATGGTAAAGCACAGGCCATCAATCACGAGCTGTGTATATGTTTATCTATCTGTGTATACATATACATAATATTATTATTTATTATTGTTAAGTAACTTCGTTTAGCGACGCGTTGACAATCGTTGCGGTAGTTGTGCATGCATTCTCGGTGATACGATCGTTGCGGACTTGACCCCGTACAAGCTGTAGTCGTGTCCCATCTCTATATAGAAATATAAATAACGCACGCGCGTCTCGTGTCCGGCCAAATTCGATTATTTGTCGACGACTGTCGTACATGAATTATTGTTGTACGGACCAAACAGCGGTGCGACCGTGCGGGTAAACAATAGCCGTCTTGCCGAAAACGAATGTCGTCTTATCCAACTGCTGCAGAAGTCTTATAATAATATTATACGTCCTGCAGCGATGACTGATTGTCTGTCCTCGCGTTGTCGGTAAAATATAAAAACAGTACAGTTTTGATCGGGACAGTACACAATTTTCCGACTCGTCAGACTTTTCCAAATTCCTGTGATTAAATCCATAAGTTTTATGTATGAGTATACGCGAATGATAACGTGTCTAACGACTCACAACGTTAAATTCCCGCGGCCGGGTTCGCGCTGCTCGACATAACCTGCAGAGATCATCTGTAAACGGCGGCGCAAGGACGGAAAATGTATTTTTTTTTAATGGTGAATTAAATGAGTTTTTCATTATTTTTAATTATTTTTTTTTATTTTGCCTTTGCTTTATTTCAACATTGAACACGTACGTTCAAGAATTTGATTGCCCCGAAAACTTCATGAAATTACTAAAGTGGCCAAAAATATTAATTGTAGATCCCTGGCGTATATGCTATGTATATAGTTTATGTATGAATGGTAGCGAAAAACAGAAGAAAAAAATTGTACCTAATTGTCTGGCACAGGTCTGCAAAGTATTTGCCTAAATACAATATATATATATATATATTATATATTATATATGTGTATATATTATTATGTGTGCACATTTAACCGCCGCCGCCTCTCTCTTCTCCGAAATAATTCTTTCACTGCGTCGGCCAAAGCTGAGTTTTTACAATGTGTTGTTATCGGTTCGACGGAAAAATATTCTATTTTTTGGCGTCCGACCGCCGCCGCCACAATGTCCACATAATGACACGTATAATTCATTCTGCCGCGCCACAGCCTGTAAAAATCTCAACGTTTTACTCTCCGCGGTGCGTGTTATGTAATTTTTTTTTCCCCCGTTCTTCTTTTCACTCGCCCGCAGATTCAAATTAATATCCCGCGACAGTCTTAACGTCTTCTTAAGCCAGCGCGCCGCCGCCGGCCGTACCGAAATAGAAAAACCCGCTTGTACGCTCGTAAAAATAACGGACGCGATGGAGATTATGATTTTTTTTTAACTACTCGATCCTCTTATACACACTCACACACACACACACACACACACACACACACACACACACACACACACACACACACACACACACACACACACACACACACACATACAAGTACAGGAACACTATACATTACGCCCATTAATTTATGACCGAAACCATAAGCGTAATAATTGTGTACGCACGCGACACATTTATATTTTTTGGTTTATTCATCTTGGTTATAATTATTTTTATGAATTTGTATTTTGTTTTGTTTCAGCTCTCAAAGTCAAGTTGATGTTGAGGAGACCCATTAACCAATTGGTTGCCCAAGGAATTATGCCCTGTAAGTATACAACCACGCCCGGCAAATACCTAGCGACACGCAAGACGATGTTAAGGCTCGCCCCTATGTTTTATGATGCACCACCGCCCTTTAAAGGTTAAACGACCGTTTACAATTAGAAAATCACACATTGTGTTTTCGGCGTGAAACTCTTTTTTCATTTTAGTCGTTCACTCTGAAAAAAATATGCATTTAATCCAATTCCTTTTATCGTTTATTTATATATTTTAATATACTGATGATAAACAGTGTATCAGTCGCCTCGTCTTGCGGTCGACATTTTGCTGTCTAATTATTTTTTGTCGATACTACTACGATGGTGTATCAGTAGTAGTTGTGCTTTAGTTACTAATCTAACCATCGCTTGGTGTATTCTCAGGTTTGAAAAGCCCACCAGCCTTCCATGAACAACGACAAAAGTTGGAGAGGGCCAAGATGGGCGATCTGTTGAAAGCCAAAATTCAACAGAGGCCTGACAAACAGCAGCTGGTCAGACAGCACATATTAGAGGACGTCGGCGACTTGGACCGATCATTAGCCGAACGTCAGCGCATGTTGGTCAAGTGTCGTTTGGCAGATTCACTAAATACCCAACTAGCACACAGGCCCGGTCCTTTGGAATTGATCAAAAAGAATATACTCCACACGGACGAGCCCATTGAAAGGGCTGTTAAAGGTATGTGTATGCATTTGTCACAAATTCAGGTAAACATCGGGGTAAACATTCCTGAAAAGTTCATAGTTGACCGTTTATTATAAGTACCAACCGAAGGTGCAAAGAACAGCTTAAATTTACCTACACCTAACTCAGCTCTATTTATGTCAGTGAATTATTTACTGAAATATATCACAAAATTAATAATAAATAATATATGGTTTATTTAGTATCGGTCCCAATACTTTTTAAGATCTACTTATAATCATTACACACATCTACTATAAATTATAATATAGGAACCAATAGACTCTTTTCTATATTATATTGAAAAAATACAGTTGTTAGTGCAAATCCATCATTATGGGGCTGTCGTGTTAGGCGTTTGATCTTGTATTGATCGGTGTGCGTTCATTTGTTTTTCAGAGGGTCAGATCGAGTTCAAAGCCACCAGCGAAGGACAAAAAATCAAGCCTGAACTCCCTGATCAGTATTTGACACTAGACGAAGACTCTCAGAGTTCGGGTGGCGCTGGAAGTTCGTGTTCCCCTCCACCGCCACCGCCACCACCCCCGCCACCGCCACCATCGGTAGCGCTGACCCACAGGCCAGCGTATGATATGATAGAGACGGCCGCTGCCAACGCCGGTATCGTCACCTTAACGTTACTACCTTCACCCCTGGGCTCATCCACGTCCAGCTTGTCACCGATGAGTTCGGTTGCCTCACCACCGCCCCCGGCACCCCCTCCAATGCCTCCGTCGTCCCTACCGCTACAGGTGCATGGGCAGCAGCCGGCACCTGGTAAGGACAAGAACCGAAAGAAGAGCAAGAGTAAGTCGCAGGCGAAGACGAGAACGATTAAGTTTCACGAGTACAAGGGACCACCGAGTGCGCATAAGTCACAAAATCTAAACTCGAATTCGGCTGAGACCTCGTACGAGCTGCTTCTACAGCAGCAGCAGTTGTTCTTGCAGTGGCAACTCGAGTGGCAACAAAAGGTATGAGCTTGTGTGTACCTTTTATCTGGTGGACGTTCTAATGATATCAATTGATTTTTTTTTTTCGTAGTATCCTCAACTCATACTGCCCGCTCCACCACACAAATCGACCTCGTCAATCGTTGAACAATCTTCTACCGTATCGTCGTCGTCGTCGTTATCGTCCTCGCCATCGTCTGCGTCGTCTACGACGTCTGCCCAGACCATCAACAATCTACCGCAGATTATCGAAACCCGTTCGTTACGAAATCTCGATGATTTAAAGGGTCAGTATTATATAGGACTATATTAGTTAATACGTGAACACTAAACCCCTGAATAAAAAATGTATAACATTCTAATATAATTTATGTTTGGGGTACCTAGTTTAATCATTTTTTATAATTAATTATTTTGAATTTTGGGTTTAGTGAGTGACTTAAAGGCTGAACTAAAGAAACGTAATTTACCCGTGTCTGGGCCGAAGCCACAGTTGATTGAAAGGCTACGGTCGTTCGCTGAACACAATTCGGATTTGTCGAACATAATACTATCGCCCGGCAATCATTCGAATCCGAACAGTCCTCCACGGTCATCGTCTACGCCGCCTCCACCACCTCCTCCACCGCCACCACCACCCTTACCATCACCAGGATCCCAAAATACGCCGGAAGAAGACCGCATCATACGGGAACAGCAGAGGCGCATTGAACAGTTACAAAAACAACTGCTTAACTCCCAACTGCAGCTTCAACAACAACAGCAGACTAGGGTACAAACATTCCAGGTAATTAAAAATATAAATACGTCTACTTAACACATTTACCAAAAAAGCAACTGGTTTAAGTAAATTTATAAAACTACATAGCGATAACAACGCATTTAGGTAATAGACTTTATTAATTTAATGATTGCAATGTATAATACCACATAATCGAATCTATATTATGAGCCAATTAAATATAATAAACAGTATATCGTCGCCGGCGCGTTCTCAAATTTAATGACCTAAATAAAAATGTTTAAATCCATTTTAAGTTATTTTTTTGTTGATTGCAACAGTTTATTATTTTAGGACATAAATCCATACACGATATATATTATACATTGGTATGGATATTATTTAAGTATTTCTATAAAAAAACAACGTGTTGTCCATGGTCAATTTTTCGACATTTTACGTAACAAAAACCCCGTGTGTGTAAACGACTGTCCTCTGTTTTAGCATAGTATTTACAATTTTCGCAATAATTGCTAGTTAGGTTTAATGATTAAAACCATAACCGTTAACCTAAAACCGTTTGTTTCATATTATTAATCGTTATTATATATTTTTTAGCCTCATCAGCCGGTTAATGCGAAAGCAAATCTGGCAGCCTTCCTTCAGCAGCAGCAGTTGAACCAGCAGCAAAAACAACAGAAACACATGATCTTGACGACGAACAATAATAATTCAATGAAGAATAACAACAACAACAACAACAATAATAACAATCTTGAGACGACTAAACGGCGGAGCAATACAATTGTATTGGACAAAGAACAAGCGGCATCAATTTTGAGTCAGTTGGACCACAACGGTCAAAGGTATGTGTCATTCATTGAATTTGATTTTATTGGTTCGTCATGTTATATTATATTGTATATATTTTAGTAGAACGACTTCACTGCCAAATTTTTTGGGTACGTTCGTTCAACCCAATTTGACCACCACCAACATCATCAACAATAACAACACTAATATTAACAACAATAATAAGCCGACGATCGCGGTCGTTCAGACCCCCTCCGGGTTCCACAAGGTGGCGGACGACGACAAAGTCGACATTCCCATGGTCGTGGATGACGTGAAATTACAACAGCAATCCGCCGTAAACTTGCCGTCGCAGCTGCAGCAGCTAGTGGAAAGAGTTGTTAAGTCACCTTCGGAAAATCGACACCAGGACACGTTGGAAAACAACAATCTAAGTCCAAAACAGGAGGACGTAAAACCGCCGTCACCGTCATCGTCACCTTACATCGATATCAACAGTCTGCCAATGGTGTTCGACGACACGAAACTGTTTCAAAACGTGAGTCGAGACTATAATATTCTGAATTCCCATATCCGGTCAGAACCTGCGATTGGCAACCCCCCTCCCCAATTTTCTCGCCGGGTCTCCGTCATTTGAAGCATTACGATTTGTTTTGTTAATCTATAATATAAAAAATGTTTAACAATTTGGTGCCCACTTAGGGCCCGTATTACAATAGTCGATTACACTTCGATTACGCTTAACCCTGATTAACCGATTTTACCGGACTAATTTGAGCGTTTTAACCGGAGATCGACTATTGTAATACGTTACTGCTTGAACCAGAACGCTACGTGTCCTGCCCAGATATCGACCTCTTATTTTAATCGTTTATTTCTATTGACGAATTAGTATAATAACAATATAATTTTTTGGCTGTTTCAGGACCATCTAGTCGACACTTGCCGGCACAACGTGTCCAAAAGTCAGATGATGGACGACGTCCTGGAGATATTGATCAGGAACGGCGAGTTACCAGCGTCGGCGGCCCACGATCAGACGTCTGCGGGCTCCGTCGTCGATCACTCGGTGGTAAACGCCGCTTCCGACTTCGACATACACATGGACGATCCGTTCGCCATGGACGTGGTGTGCAACGACGACCTGATGATGGACGTGGACACTGACTGGTTGGATTCGCTGGATCTGCCGCCGCCGTCGGCCGAACCGCTGGCCGACCTGTTCAACGGTGAAGCCACCGACAACGACTTCAAACTTCCCGCCAACATGGACTTCCTGTGGGACCGAATAGACTTCGCGACGTAAATTTACGTGTAAAATATTGTTTTACCGTCGCTACGGACGTGTACACCTTTACTTCAGTACACGTGCGTGTTTCGCGCTATCGTTATCGCCATTCCCCTTCGTCTATTTTTCTTCTCCATCTCTTTATCTTTTCTTCACTCGTCCACCACCCCTCGTCCAACGACAATAAATAAAATATGAAATAAACGCACGTTCGTTTATGTTAACCAGAGTGACATCATATCGAGTCTATAGGTCGCGGTGACCCATTTAAATAATTAAAAACAATATTTGAATTGACGAAAAATTATTATATGCTCATTTATTTACCAGGGTCGTGTTTACTTAAGGAATATTTATTTAGAGAAATTATAAAAATATAATTAATTTTTCTTTTCTTTTTCATTGCTCAAAATTGTATTATTATTATTATTTATTTTTTTAAACTGAAAATAAAATAATAAAAAAACTAACCCATTAAATCCATTATCTGTGGTTTACATTCCTTAATTTTTATTTAAAAGATTAAAATAAAAACGTCCGGCATAATGATATATAGTGTTTAATGAACAAACAAAAACATTATTTTCAATATCATATTTTATTTGTAATAATTATCTTGTACATAATATAATAATGTTTGTATTAAACTGTCTTTTTTAAATTATTATTAAGTATTACTAATTTCATAGTTAAATTATATTTTTATTTATTTTTAAATAAGGAGTAATAAAATGACAAAAAAGCGGTTGAAAAATGATATACATAATTATTATGTCCGCTTAACCAATGAATAGGTGCTGAATAGTTATTAAAATAGTACCATATTATTATACTGTATAGTGAGCGCATGTGAAACGGCTTACGGCACACCTAGTGCCGTCATTTACCTCGATGGGCTGTGCGTCGTACCGGGCGAAAACAGAATTATTATTATAATTTTTTTTTTTTTTGTAGAAAATATTTTTCTCTCCAATGTATTATACAAATATATTTATTAACCTTTTTCTCAGCGTCTTACAGCTATATTATATTAAACATTTGTGACTTTTACCATTTTCCTTTTATGCTTCCTTCATCGACATATTTTTATAAGAACAATTGTATACGTAACATTTTTAATCTGTTCTGTTATTACTTTTACTACTATTACTTATCTTTCTTTTTTTTGTTTTTTTGTTTTTTTTTTTGTTTCTGTATATAAACAATGGTGCTCTTTACCTATATTATGTAATAGTCCATACATAGTTATCTATAAAACAATATTTTATGTTTGTCATCCCATTCGCCAATCACGAGTAAAAAATTCATGTGTTGTTTCCTTTTAATCAATAGATACAATTATTTTAAACATTCCAAAAACACTAAACGAATATTATACTAGAAAAATATTGTTAGGAAATTTTTATCAAACAAAATTTATTAAGAAGTTTTTGCTAAAAATAAATTCACATTGTATAATCATTGGTTGCTATAACGATATTAATTTATTATATTGTGTAGGTATATCATAATTTATCATATAATAATAATAATTTATGCCATAGTCATTGTGATTAAATGATTATCAATTAGTCAATTAGTCAAAAATATTTTAGATCAAAATTTGTAACTATAAGCAAAAAAAAAATTTAAAAAAAAAAACAAAAATCAAAAGATAATAAAAAAAAAATTCCTATTTAACTTTTGACTTAACATTTATGCGTAGGTATACCTAATGATAAAATCAATAGAATTAATTAAGTTCAAATTATTGTTATTTTATTTAATTATGTATTTTGTTTATGTACATTTTGCTGAATAATTATATATATATATATATATATTTGTGAGTAAATCGAAAAATGATTGTTAAATATTTTGTATTGTTTTTCCTTTCTTCTTGTGTACCTACTTATTTGTAGTGATTGTTAAAAAGTGTCTTTATACGAAAAAAATCTACAACATTTTTATCAAAAGGTTTTTATTTAATTTTCCTATGTAAAATAAAATATATATGTATATATATATCTATTGCAACATAGCTCACCATTACAGAGAACTGTTTTGAAGCGACAAGAATCCTAAACATTTTTACTCCATAAATGCGTTATAAGCAATTTTTATTCTTTTGACACAAAAGATTTATGTTCTGCAAACTTGTATAAAATTCTTTAAAAGAAATATAAATTGATACATTCGATAAAAACATAAAATAATACTTACCTGGCTTCAGCACGTATGGGTAATGTTTTACTCAAATAATAATAAAGTTCATTGGTTGGGAGGGAACCAAAGGTAATGCATTATAAAACGTATATAATAAAATGAAAAATATGAGGCTTATATTATGTGTATAATAAATTTGTGTGTGGGTTAGCAATTTTAGCACATAATATTAAAATAATAATATTATGGACAGAAGAACTCGGTTGTGTGACTGACTGCATCAAAAAGATTCCAACGAAATTAATGTGTTTGACTAAAGCTATTGGATAAATTAGGTACTATCGAACATCAATAATACTGCCCTTATATTTTAGGTATTTTTCAGTCTTATCGAATTTTCAGTTAGGTACCTACTTAGAAATAATTATTGAATTTTGGAGAAGTAGGCTAACTTACCTAAGTCTACTTAAAGAGTAATACCCATCCAACTCGAAACATTATTGATCACTGCTAATTTATTTCTATTAAAATGCTATCTTTTTATTATTTAAGCGTCAATTAAATCATCTGTACCGTTAGTATCGATACAATTACGACTCAAGAAGGTTCTGCATATCAAGCGTCGACTAAACGGCGTCATCGCACCTCATAAATATTATGTTATGTAGGTAATAGGTACCTACCTCTACCTGGCTACGCATAATATAATCATATAAAATATAATTATAGTATACATTGCCTATAAATATATATTACTATATTAATGTTCAGCTTTCGACTTTTTTTAGTACGACAGCAGACCACAAACACTGATAATTTATTAAAAAAAAAATTCAAAAACTAATCCTTGAATTTTATCGCGGATTTTATTTCGCCAGGCGGATGACCTGTGAAAGAAGCAGTAGGTGTTAAAGTTAAAACCCATCCGAACGTTTTGGCGCGGCGCTCGGACCTTCGGGGACCTTTTATCAAATAAATGGCATTTAAAGTTTCATTATTGTTCCCTCGTGGTAAATGATATGAAATATTTAACCTGAAGCCCTTGTAACTGTTGGATATTAGACTTTTAGCTATGCACATTCGAAGTTCAACGAGTAAGCTCACCCATGCAGTTGGCACCAATAATCAATATAGTTATGAGAACTCTGTACCGTCATTTTTTCAGATGACATTTATTTTGTTTTTGATATCATCCAATTGCAATAATAGTTCAAATTATGTATTAATAATACATTCCAGTTACCTATAATAAATTAATAAACGATATATTTACCTGTATATAACAATACCTACCTAGTATTTATCTTATGCATTTAATCTACCTGCGTGATTTTATGCTTTAATTAATTATTCTTTGTTTTTATTTGAATTAATAAACAATATAATATTTTATCATCAATAATAATATAATTGTACATTTTAATAATTTTATTGCACAACTACCTATACTGGACCGTTCAGTTTGTATTTTATTGAAATACCCATAAGATTGTATCCCAATAGTAAAATTAGTAGGTGCCTATAAAATATTATTACATGTTCATTAGTTTCTTGAAATACTATGCTACACGTTTTTGTTTAATCTCAATTATTAAGAATCCCATGACGTGCACTTATTATAATATTGAATTATAATTTATAATTTTAATTTGGAAAAAACAACATACAAAAACGACTATGAACATTTTTGATAATATAATATTAATATAATATTATCTATGAGTTGGTTAAAAGTTTTGTGTAAAGTGATGACTTAAAGTCATTGAAATACGTCTTGTATGGTATGTTTTTATAAATATAATGAAGTAAGCCCCCCTGGTTAAAGGAGAGGGAGTGGGGGGGAGAGCACGCGTCTCCTGGACCTGAGTATGTAAAAGGCTTATCATCTTTAGATTTTATTAAGTGGTAATTTGTAATTTTTATACTGTAATAACATTGCACTACCTATATGAAAAATTAAACTGCTAAAGTATAACACTAAACTATATATGTGAAAATAGTATGAGTCATCAGTATCATCTACGGTGTCGTAAGTCGTAATTAGATCGTGTTTATGACTGTTGTATGTTTTTAGAATATATTAATTTATATTCGGGCATAGCAGATACCTATACGGGTGCCCACTAAAAAATCTTCCAAAAACACACGTGTTCACACAAAACCACAGTCCCACAGGTTATTAACCTCAACCCCCCCCCCCCATAAAAAATGTATATTATTTTTTTCTCGGAAGATGATATTTATCTAAGATACTAAAAACAATAATAATTTTGTTTATAAATTAATTATTATTATTTTTACTATCGCTTAAGCACTTCAGCACTTGTCTTCTGTTGTGAGATACTGTGTGTATCTATATTATATTGTTAACAGTCAAATATTCATAAAAGGTTTGTTTATTATTTCAAAACAATAATTTAATATTCATACCTAACATTATTGCGTAAGAGTTAAATTATATTAATACAATTAATATTTCACAGTGTATAAATGGAAGTATGGAATAGAAAATTCAGAATGACGTGAAGCCATCAAAAGAGTCTCTGAAGTCATACAAATATATTTCAGTCTACTGATAGCGTTGTGGTTAGAGCGGTGCTGGTGCGGGTGTCATCTGGACTTTTCCCAACAAATTGCAATTCAGAGAGCCAAAGTCATTGAAAAAATTTAAAACGTAGATTGGCAACGTTCAATAATAAATTGGTGAATAAATACACGAAACTCAGTGGTCAGTAATATTTTGTTGAACATGGTGTAGGTTATAATTTATACCTATTGTCTTAGTATTATTAAGAAGTTGATTTTACCATTTCGGTGAAACTTATAGATAATAATAATTATTATAAGTACGCGATCTTGCGGGTATTGTTGAT